AGTGGGGGATATTACCGCCCCTTGGGGGACCCCGATGTGGTTAGGTTTGGGGGTTCCTTTGGTGCGACCTATGATTACATGAAACTGTCTGTCCTTCAGGAATGCCTTGATGAAGTTGAGTATGCGTCCATGTAGTCCTCTTCTTTCCGCTGCGCGGATTACTGTGTCGTGAGGTATTGTGTCAAAAGCCTTTTTTATGTCGATGGCGACCATCGTTCTGGGCTTTGCATTGGCAGGGTTTTCGGTCATGTCCTTGTGTATAAGCGTCAGGCTGTCTTGAGTCGAGAGGTTGGGACGAAACCCCGTCTGCATAGGGTGCAGTTTCCGGTGTGTTTCGAGGATCCATGTGATTCGAGCTAGGACCATTCTTTCCATAAGCTTGCAGAAGTTCGAAGTGAGAGAAATTGGGCGGAGATTCCGGAGGTCGGATGGAATTTTGCCTGGTTTTGTGATCGGAAGGACAGTGGATGTCTTCCATTCTGTCGGAATGATGCCCTCTTCCCAGATCCTGTTGATCCAGTCTAGAAGGTCGGCGGTGTCCTTCTCAGGCAGGTTTCGTAGCGCCGCAACCGTAACTCGGTCTGGCCCAGGTGCCGTGTTCGCCTTTGCTTTGGCGAGAGCTGCCTGCAGCTCTCCCATGGTGAATGGGAGATCCTCGTCGGTCGGTACTTGGATCTTGCTAGGCTCATAGCAGTCCGCTGGGGGTGCCGTTGTTGGCTTCGGAAAGAATATGTCTCCCGCGAGTTCTGCTACCTCTTCTTCCGTGAGTCCTAGACTGAGGGCTAGGTTGCCGCTGGTACCTACAGATCTAGTTTTACCCGCCATGCATTTGTACGTGCGCCATACTTTCTTTAGGCCCGTTTTCTCGTTGAATGAGTTGCAGTGTGACCTCCATCTATGCCGGCTTAGCTCAAGTGTGTAGCGTCTGGCTCTGGCTGTGGCTAGGTTAAGCTTGATTCGTAGCTGTTTAGAGCTCTTCTTCTTCCGGTAGCGTTGTAGGGCTTGAAGCCGACTTGCCCATAGGTTTAGGAGATGGAGGTCCGGGGTTGGGGCGTCGTCTTTTATGTTATAAGTTTCCATGGCTTGCTCGAGTGCCGTCTGGATCTTTTGGGCTAAGTCTTGGCCGGGAAGGTTGGCGATGACTTTTCGAAAGTTGTCCCATTTAACGAAGTGGGTCTTCCTCCGCGGTGATGTCTGGTTGTGTAGTTCGATGTGAATCGGAACGTGGTCGCTGCCCATGGAGTCTGGCGAGGCGTGCCAGGACATTCGGAGCCCCTTGGAGGCCCATGTTAGGTCCGGCGACGTGTCGGCCTGCGAAGGGTTTTGGGATATCCTTGTCGGTGTGTCTTTGTCGTTGAGAAGTACGAGATTATGAGTCTCGCACAACTTCTTGATGGACCTTCCTCTCCTGTTCGTCGTTTTGTATCCCCACATCGTGTGTCTGGCGTTAAAATCGCCACAAAGAATCGTTGGTGTGTTGTCCGTTAAAAGTTGGTCGAGCCATTTGCAGTCTTTGTCTTCCGTTATAGTTGGTCTGATATAGACATTAAAAACATTCAGGGTCTTGCTACCGATCTTGATCTTGATGCCGATCACCTCTTTATTATTATCGCTGATATTTGACGTGTCGATATTTGCGTGGTGTACTCCTTTATGAACCAGTGTTGCAGCTATACCATAAGAACGGGCCGTGGCTCCTTTGTTCCTTGTTATGGTGGGCGTTGTGAATGTGACATAGCCCGGAAGTGTTATGTTCTCACAATCCGCCTCTTGCAAGAGAATCATTGCTGGTTTTTCTACTCTCTTGTCTTGAAATCGAAGTTTAAGTTCCGCAGCTTTGGTTTGAAATCCTCTGCAGTTCCATTGCATGATCCAAGGCATATATTTCTTTTTGTCGGTGTGATTGCGTGTCTTCTGATGGGACTGATTATACATTGAGCTTGCTCAATAAGGTCCCTAACATTTGCTTCATTTCTTTTATCGAAGTTTCTACGGAGGTCATTCTTGCCTCTACCTTGCTTTGCCAGATGGCGAGCTCTACGGTTGCTGAGGGTGTTTCTGCCTGTTTGTTGGATGGCATGCCAAGTACCACCGGTGCGCCAGTATCGGTGAAACATAAGGGAGTGCTCCATGCTCCCTTACTTGGTGTGGTTGGTATCACTGGGGACGGGCCCGGGGCTCCTTTTGTGGAGGCCGGTTTGTTTGTTTTGTTCTCTTGTGGAGGCGTGGCTGTGTGCGTCGTTCGCCTCTTCGGCGGAATCCTGCGCTTGGGACAATCATTGCTGGTGGCCACATGAGAGCCTCCGCAGTTGTGGCATTTGGGTTGTAGCTCGCAGTCGCTGTCCTTGCTGTGGTCGTGTCCACACTTGTCGCAACGGCTAGTTTTATTGGGACAGACATCTGACTTATGTCCGATTTCGTGACAGTTGAAGCAGACTACGGGTCGTGGTCTGTACGATGATACTGGGTAGGATTCGTATAAGAAACGTACGTATTTTGGAATGGACTTGCCTTCAAATGTGATAAGGACGGTCCTGCCGGATCTGCCTATCACTCTGGCCGCAACAATCTTATTTGTTCGACACATGAGGTCTTGCATGAGAGTTTCGGGCGTTTCCTTATTGTCGGAGCCGTGCAGATAGATCACTCCCTTGACTTGATTGCTAGCCATAGCCATGTAAGGTGTGACCTCATACGTCTTGTCATCCTTTTTTATTTCTCCGATGGAGAGCAGCTTACTTGTGATGAGTGGATTCTTTGTGGTTATTGAAATCGTGTTGGATTTCTCGCTCATATGTACCGAGAAGCCATCTTTGTTGCGCACGCCGGTCTTCTCAATAGCGGCACAGATGTCTCTCCCGGTAAACCTATATACTTCGGCCTTACAGGTTGGCTTGAGCACAACTGTCTGCGTGGGTGCAGTGCGTGATGTAGTATTCTGCGCGTTCTCTGAGCTGCGGTGCTTGCGCCTACGAGAGGGCTGCCATTCACCGTCGTTGCCTTTGTCTTCATCCATTGGTGTCATATTGTTTCCAACGTCGTCGTCTTTCTCGGGAGAATTTGCCGCTGCTTCGCCTTCGGAAGACGTGCTCGATTTGCTTTGAAGAAATGTTTGAATTTCTTGCTTGTGAGCTATGTACTCTTTTAGCTCTTGCTTGAGAGACATGAATTCTGCTACCTCTTCTTGGTTCTGCAAAAACGCGTTGAAGGTTTCTCGCAATTGCTGAAATTCAAGGTACATCTTCCACTCTGCTGGGTCCACGCTCAGTGGTGATTGCGCTGAGCTTTGCATCGCTGCGATGTTTTCAGTTGAGGGTGCCGGGTATGGATTCCTGGCTGCCTGGTTCATTACCTGCGTCTTTGTGAGGACGCGGATCTTGCCATTGAATGCCCTTCTCGGGGTGCAGTTCGGGTTCAGGGAGGCCTGGTCCTCAGCGTCCGCTGGTGAAGCGGGATACCCGGCTACGGCGTCGTCCAGGGTTGACGATGGGGTCCGGGGTGGAACCCCGTGGGGTTCGGATTTCAGCCGAACGAATGCTGGCTGGGGTAGGAAGTTAGGCCTAGTGGAGCGCTTTTCTACCTGCGACCTGCGTCGGCCATCGCGCTGCGCGATCCCGTCCAAGTATCTTCGTTGGCGGCAGTTGGCGTCGCGACCGCTTGCGCCATCTCTTGTCTCCCGTGCGAAACGGCGCCGTGTTGTTTGCAGACCGGTGGCTTCGCTGCGTTTCCATAGGAGCTAAGCCTTTTTCTTTCTTTACTTTTTCCTCAGGTAAGTTCGCTCTTCCCAAATTAAAAAAAAAATGCACCATCTGTGGGCAATGCTGCAAAAGTCGTAGCGCGATAGGTTATGAAACCAAATTTTCCGGTCGATTTAAAGAGCCTGCCGCCTCCTTGTTTCACCCTGTATAGTCGGAGAACACCTTCAGTGTAGGCCGGTTTTGACTCAGCCGTCGACTGATAGCCGCGAGGCAGCTGGTCCCGTGCCTTCTCTTTACGATGTGCGAAATGACCGAAAGCATCCGCAAGTTCCGATTGGAGACCATCCGACTAATTAATAGATTCTTCGTGATTGTCAATCATCGAATGAATATGCCTTGTGAACGTTTTGGTGACTCACGTGTGCGTAGTTTTTGAACCAGTCATCCACGTCGGAATTTCATGATCCCGTGAATGTTTGAGGGTTCCCCTGGTAGGGTGTTTGATTTTCACAGTCGGGGCACAGAGGCGGGTCACGGCACCACCTTCATCAGGCAAGCCCAGTAGTGCGCCCACAGCGCAGCTCCGGGCCTTGGTGGTGATTAGGAACTAAAGGGAATCCTTTCATTTCAACAAACATGTAAGACTGTAGATGAATTGATGGGTCTAATGCGTTCTGAGGTGGTCAACTATGATGGTGTCTGTCAGACTGTTCGAAGCAGCGTTTCGCCAAACACGAGATCAACGCGCTTGTCTCGCATGAGCTCCGCTTCGTCTTCCTTTCTAACAATACATGGTGTTTTGGTATATACACCTTTGTCGCCACTCAAGGTCGAAACACGGCCCGCACTACTAAAATACGAGGCATACTAAAATGTATTAGATCTGTACTTCCAGTACAGAAAAATACACGGAAGTGTATCTGTGTGTGTGTTTTTCAACGCACAAAATTGGTATAGACGCTTTCAGCGCGCGCCAGATTGAGCCGCCATAGCCGACCTTCTCTCGTCTTACCGAGCGGCCAAGCCACTGAAACGGGCGTTGACGGGTCTCCACAAGGGCCTATGCTGGGGAGAAGGACACAGTAGCACCTAAAGTGGCAATAACCTGTCCTGCTGTAGTAATGATGAAGTGGAGCGAACGGAATAAGAAGGAACAAAAACTGAAGGTCGGTTATGGCGGCGCCCATGCACAGCTGCCTGAAAGCGTCTATACTTTTCGTGTATTGCTTTTTTCAAGAGACGGGAAAATTGAGGAAGTCAACTAAATTATTATCTTGTTTACGGAACCTTTGCTACCAACAGAATCAGGGCGCAGAGAGGAAACCCAGGTTTTGTACACCGAAAAAGAAAACAGGTGCTTTGTATTGTTCTACACCGATACTAGTGGTGAGTCTTCCTTCGTTTTGGAACGTTCACTATATCAAAGCTAATATTTTCTTCAGACTTAAAGTCAATGTAAAAGGCGTTTATGCTGAGTCCATCCAGACCATTCATGTTTTTTTTTCCTCGCTGAGTAACTCAGCTTATTTGTGTTGTTTCAGCGAAGCATGCTACACCTCAGTCCAAATGCTGTTTTTAACGCGATAGCGATAAGGAGCTCGCGCCACGCCGACCGCGGTGGCGTGCCAGATATTCCGGCGTGACGCGAAAATCCTGATTGGTCTAGAGCGTGATGACGTCACAACCACATGACCTCGCGCGGGAATTTCAAAGAACACACAACGCTCACTTTAAACGTGACTTCACGCGTGGAATTCCAGTGATTAAAACATGACATGTAATGAAAATTGAAGGTCGCCGCATTTCTCAAATGGTTTCACTTTATAAAGTAATTGATTTGCGTTAAACAAAGGTTTGAAGAATTGAAGCGGGGTTAAAACCCACGACCCTCCGGTTACGAGCCACACACGCTACTAACTTCCGTGTCCGCCGCACTTCCTGCTTGCTGGAAGGAAGGCCATGAGAAGCGAATTACAAGGCGATGCGCACGGGGCCTGATAACGTTATCGGGTTCACTCTGAAATGCGACGATTAAGCGTCTTTTATCTGTTTACTGTTCCCATGTTCCACCATTTGTATTTCTTATGAATGAAATTGTATATTTTTTTTAATTGGATTGTTGTAAAAGGGTCCTTAACTTTTATGATAAGCGAAAGTACTTCACAACAAGTGTGCATTGTTTTATTTTGTTTCCGAGATTCTTTAGAATTCGCAATACTAGACGTTCTTAAAATTGTAATCCGACAACTGGTCCATTGACTAAGCAGTTTCGACGATGCGACACTATCAAATAACATATTTACCTCATTCTTTTGTAGATTATGAACTCTGGGTAAATACAAACGAGACCAACTTCCTTCCCAGATGCTGCGAGTTTGCTTTCGAGTTCGTCACCTACGAAGTGCCGACGTACATTAACTTCAATTACACAATCTGTAAACGCGTCGTGTAGGCCACCGAGAATTAACAGGCATCTTTGTTATGAACTTCATTTTATGAGTGCGTGATCAAAGGAAATAAATATATACATGCCGCATCTCTTTCGTGTTATTTTTATTCGCACGCAATAATTATAAAATCTTTAGTAACGATATTCCAAGCATGTTCGCTGTGGGGGAGCATCTCGAGAGCTCATAAAAACAGGGCACACGACATGAGAGCGCCGCTACACTAGAGCGCTTTCCGTTAGAGCACGCGACACGAGTGTGCTAGCCATTAGTGCGCGCGTCACGAGAGTGCTAACAGGACCGATGGGCGGGCTGTGGAATCGCGCACTGGAGACAACATCCACATACATGACGAAAGTGTGCGAAGCGTTAAAGGGTGGCTGAATCCGACCAGGCCAAAAAACTCGATCCCATGGATAGGTGCTTTAGCGTGCGACTGCAACAACTTGAGCCTCTTTAAGACTGCTTTACTTCGAGCTGTTTCTATATGACGAACCTTAGTACGAGCCATTGGGGAGGCGCTGTGGGGCACGACGTCACGCAGCGCAACGCAGTCGACCGAACTGTGTGAACCAGCCTTAGGTTGTGGCGCGCCCGCTATAGAACAACCGCCGCCCGATGGGTCCGTTCTTCGCTCGTCTCCCAGGGAGTGACACAACACAACGAGAAGACAGCGGATAGGTATACTGCACTTCCCGGGTGCCCGTCCACGAGAGCCGGCAGTCCGGGCCCACCGACCCTGGTTGTCGCCCGTCGTTCAGAGCTCGCAGTCGGAGTCCCAGGTATCCTGGGTTGAATCCCCACCACTGCCCGTTTCGATCTGGATAGGCATCGTACCGGCGTGCGGTTATGTATCACTCTTGCCTGGTGCACGCTAAAGACCTCAGGCTAGCGGTTGTACTGCACTGGCTACATTGCTCTTCTACGGCGAGTAACCCGTCGCAACTTTGAAACGGCTGACCAACTATACACGCTGTCCAAACATTCACACAACCCCGATATCGTCGAAATTAATCCTCGGTCCTCCGCTGGGGCGTGCCAGATGCCCGTCGTTGGTTTTGGCACGTAAAACCCCAATTTTTATTTTTTATTTATGAGGTGCTGAGCCGCGGCGCTGTGGAATGCGGGCGTGTTCAGTTGCCACTCTGCCGTCACCGGTTGTTCTTCGGTCTGGGTGATGTGTGTGCGTAGTTAAAACGATGGATTCGATTCCCTCCACGAGGGATAGGGATGCAGTTCCTTACACGAGTGATATGGATGTGGTTCTTTCACGAGTGATATGGATGACCGTATCCAAGGGCGTCGACGTGCTCTGACAGGCGGAGAACAAAAAGGGGGTGAAAAAAATTACAGAAGATACATCGGTATATTTTTAGGGAATCCTTTGTCATGACCATTGGAAAACGCCACATACGTCTCCCTTCGGGAAACGCTAACACTGAAGCAGCAAAAAATGAAAGGAAGCAAAAGAGAAAGCCAAAAGAAAGAAAACTGAAGGGGACAGCGTTAGCATTTCCCAAATGGGGACGTGTGTCGCGTTTTCAAGGGTCATGCTAACGCATCCCCAATGGGTCTTCCTGTAATTTTTTTTTTTTTTTTAATATTGCCTGAGTCCGCGTGTAACGCTTTTTCGTCACACTCGAGCGTTATACTTTTTCATAATATCCAGCCTATAAACACATTTTGTGTTAAAAACACCGACGTTGGGCAAATTAGGGAGCCACAATAAAGAAGCACGGGCTCACCGAAGAAGAAAAACAATATGCCATAAAAGGAGCCATACGGTTGAAAATTAACGAAAGTAAAGAATTCTCGAAGTGCGTTATTTAGTAATAAGGCAAAATCAGTAGTCAATCAATAGTCGTGACGTAGTTAAGCAAAGGTAAAATTAAGGTCGTTTTTACCTTTGAAGTACTACAAAAATATTTAATTCCGTCGACTCAAAGTTTTATATTGCAACCAATTTTTTTAAATATTTCTTCAACCCAATTCTCAATGCAGATTATATTTCACTCCGAAGTCTAGGGCTATAATGTTCCCCATAAAAAGGCCAACTAGGCCCATTCTCTTAATCAGCAAGACCGCCGTATAAAACGAAGCACACACACCATCAACAAACGTTCTGGTCCAGCATGTACGGTAGCAAAATTATGAACGAGGGAATTATACTACTAGCATTAAACACAAAACCTACGGTAACTTTTGAGTGCTCATATATTCCAGCGATTCCTATCAAGGTTTAACGCGGTGGTCTTCTTGCGCGCACAGCAGGCGAAGAAATAGAGGGTTCCTGCTGACAACGTTGAGTTTCTCGTAAGACCACCGACCGAAGCTTCGCCTGTGTAGAGGGATTGGAACATCCGTGAAGTCGTTTCCGTTTCCACGAGGGTCGAAGTACATGACGTGGATCTGGTCGAAGAACCCGTGCGGAGGAACTTTCTTGCAGTTTCATTAGGGAAACTCCGATAGAATGCTTTGAATAAAACCATTCTTTAAAAATTGTGTTAGTCACGTCTCAAAAATAATTACTGACCTTTCTCTTTGCCCGGTGCCCCTGCTTCAAGCCTGCAGTGGGATAGAACTCCACAATTAATTTAGATGGTTAAGCAATGCATGTATAGATATATCAGATATAGCATCATAAATACCGATATATACTCTGAAATACTTTTAAGAATGTATATCTTGCTAATACAACGAACGAAGTGACGAAGTCCTCTTTTAGGTAAACAAAGCTCGATTATCCTTGAAATATTTAGAGGCTTTCCTAACTTTGGCCGTGTGCTTTGCAATGTGTCTGCTCTAGATATTTATAAAGCGCCAAATTCATTCGAGCCTGTATTAATATTAGGCTTTAATCCGCAGTCAAACCCGTATTATTTAGGCATTTTTTTAGACAAGACTAATCCTCAATTATTCCTCCTTCCTTTTTAACATTTTCAAAAGCTGCGTGTTACGACTGTCTCTTAAAACCAAGCAATATAATTACCACCAAAGACCCAACATCAAACATTAGTTTTTTTAATGATTGAATCAAGTCAAATCGGGTATCACTTACCTCGCGAATGTATCTTCGTTGTACCCCTCATTAACGCGTACTCTGGAAACAGGCACAGCGGACGTCAGCAGAAGTTTCGTGCTCGTCGAAGGCTACACGCAACTTCTACGACGGAAACGTATTAACCGAAGGGTCGATGTTGATCGGTGTTTTCTTCTGTTCCGGAAGGTCTATGGCGTAATTATAGGCAATCACATTTTAAACGGTTTGTTAGCGGGTCTTACACACAAAGCCTTTAAAGGGATACTACAACGAAATTCCGGCGCTTGATTCTTGGTCTATTTGTGTTCAATGGAGCATCCTGACATCAGACACACCAATCTCTTATTGAAAAAGTCAAGAAAGGGAATTTTAAAACTAATTAAACGATTAGCAAAGAGCACCTGGTGGATGTCGCTAACGCCTCGTTTGTAATGCCAGTCTAGAAACCTTGACAAGTCGTGATTATAATTGCCTCGCCTCCGGCCATCACGAGAGAAGAGGGGAAGGAGGAACACCCCTTTCACCGATATTCTCTTTTGTGTCTCCCAGACGTCCCTATTGTCCCTCTACAATATCATAGAACATTAGCCCGCTGCTCAGAATTCGTACAAAAGCAGCTTTGGGGTTAGTTGCTGTGACCCGATCGCTGGCGTGCTTCGGCCGCTTCGGTGGCCGGAACGGCTGGGATATCCTTTCGACGCCAACCTCTCTGCAGCTTTGCTCGTCCCGAGACAATCTGCGTCACGATTGCGCCGGATGTCACGTGCTCTCCGCTGGCTGGTCTCTGAGCGCTTGCCAGAGTGGGCCGTTTATAACGAAAAATACAGTCTTTAGGCTCAAAATGCAAACGTGAAACTATCAATTACGGATATTGTGGATTATATTCATTATATTCAGCCTATTTCTGAACACGACGGGTATATTTAAATATAGTCATGCTGTCTTTTTGGGCCGGCTTCATCCATTAACATTTTGTGCCATTTAAATGTACTGGACCAATAATTCGCCACATGCCTCGCGCTGGTATTCAGAATATAAATGCATGGTCTTTACGTCTTTCGGACCGGTTCGTGTGGCTCACGTAGGCATCGTACCTACCTTCACGAGCTTCAGGAAATTTCTCTTTTCCGAGAGCCTTCTTCGTCAGCCTGATGCTTTCGGGCACATCCAGTTCAGGTCGAGTGCATCGAAGTTATACTCGAGCATCCATTCCAGGGTGTACCTGACGAAGATTTTTCTTTTCAACGTGTCGATAACCATCGATGAATATTTCCGGCCACCCTCGCCTGTACCTCGGGTGCCTCGAATCGCCCTGAGATGAAGATGCTTCCTCTTTAGGGCCACAAATCGACGTAGGCCATCTGGGGAAGTGGTAGTTCTTAGACGTCGACAAATACTTTTCTTAGAATTGAACTGAAGGGACACACAACCGTGAACAGAAATTTGGCATCGAGCAATAAGACGTTTTCTTGGCTAATTTTATAATTGACTTTCATTATAAATGAAAAAAAATATATGTATGCTTTATTTCCAGTTATGCGTTATATCGCTAAAAAAAGCGTAAATAACAAACACGCAAAGATGGGATCGATGCTTGAAGTCAGGCTGCACTCGTCGCGCTGAATTGGACGAGGCGCCGGATCAGGGCGCAGAGGCAGAGAAAGACGCTTTTGGATCTGCCTGATTAGACTCTTGGCTGGTAACGTCAGCTGCGCTCTGACTTTAGGGGAAACAAAGCATAACCTTCTGTGTTCCAAGCTCGTTGACAAAGCTAAAAATAAAAACAAATCAGACGATGCGGAATAAAGAGACGCACACCATCGACGTACGAAAGTACTCTAGGAATAAGGTTGAAATTTGAGCTTGTGGGTAGTCAAACATATTGAGATATTTAGCGCTCAAAGTTCAAAGAAGAATAACAAGAAGGCGCTCTTTACTGTCCTGTTCTTCTCTCTACTTTTTGCG